CCGTGACGATTTCCACACAGATAAGAGATTTGGCCATCGATTACGAGAGTTCGAGGGGAGAGGAGGCCCACCATTGCAAGATGAGAAATGGAGACGAGGTGGACCCGGGCCTCCCTTTCCTCCTGATCACAGGGAATTTGAAGGAGGTGGTTCCAACCGTGGGCCTCCTGGTGCTTGGGAAGGACGGAGACCTTCAGATGACAGATATCCACGGGATCCGGAGGATGCGCGCTTCCGAGGAAGGCGAGATGAGAGGTAAGAATAAATCCGTTTCTCTTTCTTGGGTTAAAGGGTAAATGGAGGGAACTCTTTTATTCCTGGTTTCCTTTTCATTAAGGAGTCTATCTGTTTCAGATTTATAAACTGGAAACCAATAAGGAAATGAAAACTCTAATATACCTGAGTATAGAGTCCATAAAAATCATTCAGTAATAGAAGAAAACTTGAAAAATGGTCATTATACACAGCAGCTTCCGTGTCTTTAAACAGTAAGTAAAGAGAAGGGGGAAAGTTTGTAGAGAAGATCCAGTGACACAGGATGAAGATATGAGACTGCTTTGATGAAAATTGAGAGGAGACTTAAAGGTTAAAGTGACAAACTTTTGAACACTAGAAGTGGATTTTGAGATTCTGTCTCCAGTCACAAACTACAGCATGACTGTAGAGACTGTAGGATGAGATGCAATGCCCTTGTAAGGAGCAGGAACAGTGATCTGACTGCCAGATAGAAGGGACAGAGTTACAGCATCTGTTGGACTGTCGAGACTATTTTTTCATGCATTTGCTTGTAGAAATTTTATTTCTCTTTCTGACTTATTTCTTAATGCCAAATGAAGAACTCAAAAATAATCTGATTTACAGCAATGTCCTTGTCATTGCTCACAATCTCCAAATAGATAACAAAGGGATAAATTTGCTTTTAGTTACCAATGTAAATATGGAGGAATTAATGCTGTCTCTGAGATTAACTATCAGCAAAATTGCTCCACATTTATGTTAGTTTAATTGAATGAAACTTGGCCTCCAAGGTCTGAGTGTCTCACTGACCACCAACTCTCTATGTATAAGAACATGTGCTTGTACAAATATGCTGTGGTCTCCACATAATGTGAATTTTGTGTGTTTTAGTTGCCTTTTTAATAATTTTCTTACATTCCTTTTACTTCGCATCTATACAGCTCTTCTTTTAGCTATTTTCTACCTAGCTCTGTAAGATGTAACTTCCTTTTGTGTGAAGAGTGTGAAAAGAAATGAACAGTAACTAAAAGAAGGTAACAATTAAAGCCATTTTTAAAAAGTAAAGCCAGATAAAATCCAGTTGGATGGTCCAGTGGTCCAATGGTCTGCATCACAGAACTCTAAAAGACACAGCAGACAAGACTTTTAGAAGCTCAGTAGAGATTTTTCAGATCTTATATTGAAAATGCTTAGGGACTGGAAAGTATTTTATTATGGTCCTGATTTTTAAAAAGTTTCAGGAAGGGAAAAAGAACCCTGTGACCTGTAAATCTGACTTTTGAACTAAGAGTATTCTATTTATCAGATTACAAGTGCTTGCCCAGAGAGTTTGAAATGAAATGGCACAGGGCTCTAAAAGGCTCTCACTGTGCTTGTAAATTTGATGATTTTCCTGGAATGAAAGTGAACTAGGTGCCATTTACTGCAGATGCTGTGGTGGACTTAATCCCAACCACTCCTTTAGCTGACGTGGTTTGAAATTGAGATCGTAACTGGTTTGATCAAGCATGAGAGGCAAATGTGTGTATGTGTGTTTCTCTCTAATTTCCCATCCTTCTCATCCCTGTCCTGTTCTTACTCTACCTGTGCATATCAACATGATGCTTCTACTGCAGAGACCTGCCTCTTCCTGCCTGCTAATCTGCACAGTGTGTAGTTGTGTACAGTAAGGTCCTAGGCCTCGGGGAAGAAGATGTGAGAGCAGTCAAACAGGAACTGAACCCGATGCAAGGCAGGGTTTTATGTGTGACTGATATGAAAAGGCAAATAAGGATATCCATAACACAATATTAGGAGCTGTGGCTGTGTCAGGCATAGGTATCGTAGATTTCAAAACTCAGCTGTATCCATGAGTTGCCTGAAATAGGAAAGGGCCTATTCCTGCAGCCCTGGGGCCTCGTGTTGAAAATCTTGGTCATTTCCAAGCTAAGTCAAATCACACCACATCAGTATTAAAGCGGGAGGCCCTCTAAGAAACCTCTAGAGGACTGTGCTGTTTCAAGGCTAAAAAATATTGCTCTGTGATTATTTGAACCATTTGTACCTGAAACTGTTGAGTTTGTTTTCCCAAACCATCCAGGTTAATGTAAATGGTTCATGGTCCATACAAAGCACTCCTCCATCCACTGTTGTACCTGTACAGGCACAGCAGCCTCCTCTCTGTATTGTGTTTGTTTTCTGGGAGGTGGAGACAGACCTATTGTTTTTTATTAAAAACAATGTAAAAGTTTAAAAATATTGTATTGTGTTATGACTACTGTTAAAATATTTAAATTTGTAATTAAAAGGTTAATGTTGTTAAAATTCTAAATAAAAGTATCTAAAGTTTTGCTTGTAATAGGATGCACTGTGTCGTTAATGAGCTGGGGAAGGGGATGCTGCACACAGCCAACACCATGGGAATACTGCGGTGCTTCCAGTTCATCCAGTGTGAAACTGGGAACAGTGGGGAGGTGGGAGGCATCTGTGACTGGGCAGGGAGTGCTCCACACCGTGTGCTGTCACTGAGGGTGGGCAGAGTAGCGTGGGGTGGCACGGTGGGGACACCAGAGTGCCCGCACCATCCGAACACCTCAGCCGGGCTGTGCCTGCGTCCTCTGCAGCGCAGTCCTCACAGAGCAGGGCTGTGCTTTGCAAACACTCCAGGTGTTTGAACAGCTTCTGTCAGGAACAGAACTGCTAGTTATTCACACAGCCAGCTGCAGGCTTACCTGACATGGCACTGACAGCTCAGGAAGAGCCATTCTCCTCTCTGAAGAGCTCTCAGAGTCCCCCACTGCAGTGCTGGAGGAGCTGTACTCAGTTAAGATACAGTGCAGAACCCAATCGCAGCAAATTCCATTGGTACTTACAGACAGCAGTTATCAACTTCAGGGTCATAATTACATTTTGCAACACAAAATTCATTACTGCAGTTGGATAAACTGCTCTTCAGGTTGCAGAATGCCACTGTGCACTGTTCAGCCACCTCTGTGCCTACAGATCCAAGGGCAGCCTAGATGCTTTTGCTAAAATTGTAAACTTTGAAGAATGGAATGAAAAGGAAAATTGTCTGGCAAAAGAATCATAGAATTAGTAGGAATGAGATCCTGTACTGTTTTGTTATAGCTACAACTCTCATTGCTTCTATGTTTTGTTTGTTTTATGATGGAAATGGAAAGGGAAGGGGAATGTAAGACCATCAGAATTAAGTGGAATTCACTTATACTTTTCCTTGCCTTACCTCACCTTGTATCTATCATCGCTCATTGATTGTTTTCCCCAACTTTTCATTAAATTAATGCAGTATGTTTAATAATATTTTTCTTGTATGAAAAGCCAACATAATCAGTGGAAGGAAATATGAAAGGAAGATTACAGAGCTTACTATCAAAGTGCTCAAAGGCAGAAATGAGCACTTTCCCACCTACAAATTCTGTTCTAGTAACTGTATGTGCTGTAGCATTAAGTGAAAACAGTTCAGAAATTAGTTGATAATTAAACTGAAGCTGACTCAGTGATGCCTAAAAACAACATTTGTATCATGTTCTTTCTTGTAGCTTCCGAAGAGGAGGACCCTCAAGACATGAGGGCCGGGGACCCAGGGGCAGAGATGGCTTTCCTGGCCCTGAAGATTTTGGGCCAGATGATGCTTTTGACTCTCCAGATGAAAACTCCAGAGGAAGGGATCATGGTGCTCGGGGGCGAGGTCGAGGTGCTCTGAGAGGTAAGGGGAATGTTCTTCCATGCAGAAAGGCAAGGGTGAGGAAGGAAAGGCATTTTCTTGGGCAGAGATCGGTATTTTCATGAATACAATGTCTCTTCTCACTCCTGTCCCCTGCTTCTCTCACTGCTCAGGAGCTCGGAAGGGTTTGCTTCCTACTCCAGATGAATTCCCACGCTTTGAAGGAGGGCGGAAACCAGAATCCTGGGATGGAAACAGAGAACCAGGTAAAAAATTTGGTGAAGTTTGTAGACTTCTACAATATAATAACTTAAACCAGAAATTTTTAAAATCATGTCTTGTACCTCATATGTTTGTTACCAGCATTTTACCATGAGATAAACCAAATGCTGTTCTTTGGTCTTTCAAATTTAGGAAAAAAGAACTATACAGAATTTAACTGAATATGGCTGTCTTACCGAAAAAAAAAGTGATTGTGGCCTCAAAGCCTTGATTTTCAGTTGTGTTCTTGTACAGTCCACAACTGCCTGGGCACTTGTCACCTCTGGATGATTGAATCACATGTCAGAGGGCTTTTTTTTAAAATATGTATATGAATGCCAACAGTAATCTTTCTCTGGGTTGATATCTTTTCAGCTGCAATGTCTGACAGCTTATATCTGCAGTTGTGTTACTAAAGGCAGTCCCATATGGGGCAAGACAGAGCTGTAGAATGTCAGGGAAAACAAAGCACAAATGAAACATGAATAAATGAAGATATGATTGTCTCTAAAATATATGGAAGTATTTTATACTGGAAAGAACACTACATCTGCCACACTTTTCTTTCCCATCATCTTTAAAATCTGTTTTTCCTTTAGCTTTTTTACTGAAAAATGGGAGGGGGGAGAAATTTTACATAATTTTAATTTCAAATTGTGTGCCAAACAGTGTGGGTAGTTTGTAAATTTATGGGGCTGCCTTCAAAAAGGAGGAATAATGATCCAATGAACATTACTTATCCTGCGTTTTCATGCACAGGTCCTCGTCCAGATCACCCTCCTCATGATGGGCACTCTCCAGCCAACAGAGAACGTTCCTCTTCACTCCAGGGCATGGACATGGCCTCACTGCCACCACGGAAACGTCCCTGGCATGATGGACCAGGAACCTCTGACCACAGAGACATGGATGCTCCAGGTGGACCTCCAGAGGAGAGGGGCAAAGGTAAAAATCCCTTTGACTGAAACCCTTAAGTAACACTGGCATGTGTTTTCAGCATAAGTTTATCCAGAACTTCTCTGTTCAGAGGGGATAAAGCTAGCTGGTAAATATCTGATTTTACCAGCTGGGAAGGTAAGGACCAGTCTTACAGGAATATAAGAACAGAGGAATTTTCAAACATCAAATCCAAATCTTGTCTCCAGCATCACAGAATCCCCTTATTTACTGCCCTGTTCAAAAGTAGTTGGTTTTTGGTTCCTTGTTACTCCAGCTGGAAAACTCATTAAGAGCATTTTTTCCCTCATTTTTGGAACAGTTGTTTATTAATATTAATGCTTGTGATCTTATCCTTTAACTCAAATATAGGAACAGTGAGCCTGGAGTGATGTGTGCCTAATGTGCTCTCTAAACCTCTGAAGATCTGACTTACTAAAATATTATTTTTATATTTAAAAAATAGTTACCTTTTGTAACTCTCTAATTGCTTTAAGAATGATACAAACTTTTGATATACACAACATCCATGGACAGACCTCTAAAACTTAATTGCAGTAGAGTATGCTTAAACAAAAAAATGAGGCCAAATGTTTTTCCCTTGATCTATGCTTATCATTCACTAATTTCATTTGATGTCTTGTGTTGTAATTAAGTTGAATGTTGGTTCCTGTAAGACTGAATGCCACCTTTGATTGCACTGAACTCCACCAGTTCCAGCATGAACCAGCTGTTCTCCAAGTCAGAGCTCTGATCTGTTTACTCTTTCTAGAATCTGCATCTTCACTATCCTTGTTACTGTGTATGTGTTAATTTTGAGTTTTAAATTATCCTTTTTAAAATTTTATGAGGTAACTAGGAAATGCACACACTATTTAAGATGTGGTGTAACCATAGGTTTCTACAGTTCTCTTGGATTTGTTCCACTTTCTCCATTCTTTCCTAATAGTTGGTATTGTAGTTCCCTCTAAGTGTGCACATACTACTGTAACCCACAAAACACATTCTTTTGGAGTCAGTCCTATTAGCATCACACCAGTTCTTGATCCTGTTTCTTACAGATCTCAGGACTTCTGTTCTCTTGTGTAAATACTGTCTTTCTTTAATGTCCTCACATTGACTACCCACTGTCAGGAAGTGATCAGTGACAAACATCCATCTCATTTGCTTCCAGATGCTGAGCTGGCAGCCTGCAGCTGAATTTGTTGTTGTTAGACTGCACAGCTTTGTCTCTGATGCCACTGAACGCTGAACCCCATCCCACTTCTCTCACCATTGTCCCAAAGCTCATTCAGTTTTAACTGCATGTCACTCCTTCTCTGCATGGACTTTACTCCCAGCATAGCATTAACAGCAGGTTTTATCATTCCTTCAGAGATATTTTGAATAAAACTGCTGATAAATTTCTCTACCAGTATTTTTCCCTCCATATCCATGTGCTGTAGTTCTCAATTTAGCCAGCACCTATCAAATCTGTAAAGATTCCTTTCCCAGCTTCAGTAGTGCTTACTGAGAAGAGTAATGATAACTCTATCAGATTCCATTTAAGTCAAAACAATTGTCCAGGCACAAGTGTGATAATTAACTCACAATGTGCTAAAGGAAGTTTAGAATTATGGCAGAAAGCCTGATAAACAAACCATGAACAATACACTTTCATATGTGGGCTATGTCACCTTCAGTTGTATTGGTAAAATAATTTTAAGATTAAATCTTCACGAATATTTCTGTGAAACAATTTGGTGACTGTTTTACATGGAACCAACCACAATCAACAAAAATCACTCTTGCTAAAGTGCAGCAAAAATACCTGAATTTAGCTGTAGTATGTGTCCTTAAATCAAGGTTATCACTGACTTTGTTTTTTCAAAATACTGCTTCTTATTTTAGGCAAATGAATTGGGTAGGGTTTTTTTTAATGTTCATATCAAATGTGTCAAAACCAAAAAGGTATGTGAGAGCTGGAAAATTCTATTCCTGGCAGTAAGAGCTTGAGTAGTTTTTGTTCCTGGTTAGTAGTAAAATAAAGCATTTTTCCATTAGTTTTAGCAAAACATGGAACAAAACAGTAATGTTACTCATGATCTTCACCATCAGCCTCAACTGTCTCAATTTGTCAACAATGCAATGTCTTTGTTTAGGATTGAAAAAAAAAAGTATTTTGCAATAAAAACATAGAACCACAGGTAGTGTTGAAAGACAAGAACTGCCAGTTTGGAGAAAAAGCTGACACTATTCTGACTTCATTTCAATGACTGCTGACAGTAAAAATATAAGCTCCTTTAATTCCCAAGGAATTGCTTGATTGTTGTCTGTTTTCTGAACTGTAATGGAGGCACTATATCTGTATAAGAAGATTGCACTGAGGGTGGAGACATAAAATTGCAGGTCTCAGCTACAGCTGCTTTATGAATGATGACACCACAGTAGAAGCAGCTCAATATATGGCATGTCTAAGAAGGGACTCAGCTCAAACTCACACCAGTAACTGGTTGTGCTTCCTTTGCAGGACGAGGAAATTCAGGACCTTCACAGAGAGCTCCAAAATCTGGGAGGTCCAGTTCTCTAGATGGAGACCACCATGATGGATTCCACAGGGATGAAGCCTTTGGCGGAGGCCCCGGGGGAGTCAGTAACGCTCCTCGAGGAGGAAGGAGCGGCAGCAATTGGGGAAGAGGAAATAACATGAACTCTGGCCAGTCCCGGAGAGGAGGATCTCGGGGCGGACGGGGCCGATAGAAGAGGCTTTGACTGGGTCATGCCCAGTCCTTGTGGGACAATATTTAAATAGACTGCTACTCTGGACTCAGTCACCTGCAATGCCACGAACCTGGATTCTTCTCACCTGCAATGCCACAAGCCTGGATTCTTAACTGGGATAACTGAATGTGCATTAGTTCCTAACAAGGGTCTTTCTTTTCCCAAATCAGTCATTTGCCTCTAGCTGCAATATTGTAGCTAGCTTTGTTTGGTTCTTTCCACTCCCATTCCCCTCACTTCTTGTTTTGTCAAGAGCTGGAATTTCTTTTAAGTGTTGTGGAACATGGAGCATCTCCATAGATTTCAGTTCACCTCCAGACAGAAACTTGTTTCTATATGTACAGTTTGTCAAAGAGTTACGTTGGTTTTGTATGAATACAGAATGTAATTTGCGCAAAAATTAACAAAAAAATCAACAGTGTGTGATTCTTTACTCACCTATTACTACAGAGGGTTGTATTTAGGCAAACTTGTATTTCAGATGGGGCAACAGTACTACCTCCTGCAGTCTCAGCCATTTAAAATACTGAGAGCTGATTCCTAGTTTTCTGATTTATCATGTATAGAGAAGTTTCATTTTCACCTTTAGCCACAGCTGTCTACAGATTACAATGGTGCTGATGTTAAAATTCCAAAATGCAGGCAATCACCACTGCTTGCTAGTCTGCCAACCTGAAACAGAAAAGAGTGGAATAGTGTTTAGAACAAGTTGTCAAAGATATAGCGTGAGTTACATAACCTGGATCGCAAGACAGACATCACAGCAAAGATTGGCATTCTACACTTCAGCTAGGTGAGCCACAGATTTTTGTTCAAAACAGCATCTGTTTATAGAAATTGAGAAAGAAAGCTTAGCATCTTGATTGGCATGTTTTACAGCAGCTGTGTGACACATTGTTTAAAGCTATGGGTGTTCAGCAGAGTCTAGTGCATTAATTGCTGAAGTGCAATTCATCATTTCCATAATAAGTTTTTTAAGTGTCTTTTTCTTTAGGATATTGTTACCTGATTTTACTAAAGGAGGGAAATGAGGAGGAGGGGTTATTCCCATTTCCCACATTTCATAATAAAGCTGTTTACCAACCATGAATTTGTTTTCCCCATAAATCATTCTTATTAATCATCTCTAACCACCAGGTTATCAAAAGACTCCTTTAATACCTAAAGTATTAAACAGTGAAAATGTCATCACATAAGTAGTTGTTCTAGAGATACTCCTCAGGAAGGTCCTATATTAAAAGTAGAGCACATAATGAAAAATCACTACCAGGTTTCCCTCTCTCTTGCCTTGCATTTCGGTTATAATCAGGCTGAGACTTAGTTCTAGAGGCTGCTGCGACCCATGCAGCTGGTGCATCTTCTCATAGGCAGGTTTACTGAGGACTGGCTCAAGTCCTGATGTCCCATCTTACTTAAAGACATCGAAGCACAGATGCTTAACTGTTGTTCTTTTGGTTCAGTCAATCACAAGTACCTTTTTTACTTGGTTTTTAATTTGTGGTGTATAAAAATACATTTGAAAATTGTAACTGATCATTAGCCTATAAAATCCTTGTCATGGGGCTTAGAAGAGACAGAATAGCCTTAAAGGAATGAACAAGAAACAGCTGCGATGCATCTGATGTGACAGTTTATCCCTTGAGAAAAAATGCTTTTTAGCTCTATCTGAAGGACTTCAGGCACTTTGGGTATATGTCTGGGAGTCAGGACTAGTTTTCATGCCTAATGATTTAATCATTGGCGAAGAGGAAATCTTGCCCTCTTTATTTAGCAAGTCCTATATATGTTTAAGGGGCTAAAAGAGGTCTAATACTTGGAATATATGAGTTAGAGGATGAGCTTTAGGCTTTAATTAAACCACAGTCCTCTACCAAAACAAGTTAAAGTGTACCTAACAGTAAGAGAAAACCCAGCTTTATCTACACAACTATATTTCCACTGATGATTGGTTAATTCCTTAACTATTATGGTAGTGTTTAGTAATATCCTTCAAGGGGCAGCTTTTAAATGGAGTTTTGAAGTATTTCACAATCATATGCTCAAAAAGTCCTAAGAAAATTTGATAATTAGATCTATATTCTACAAAATCTTAAAAGGTAACAGCATAGCAGAAGAGACAGAAACAGCTTCCCAGTCTGTGATACCATGACCCACTATTGCTGGGAAATGGGCACAGTTATTTAATGGGAATATACTTCTGTATTCCTCAGGTCATGTTCTTTTACCAGTGCTGAGACAGACTCTTAGGCTCTACCAGTTAGTTCAGTGGTTGCCTCAGATTTAATTTCACACTGCTGTTAGGAATAAAATTTCAAAACCAGAGAGCTAATTTAATGCTATTCTGATAGCTGTGATCTACATTCTTAATGGAAAAAAGTGACCATTAGTGAAATGTCTATACTGACAACTGGACACAAACAGTTTTATTAAAGCAATCTATGTACACTTAAGTACCGCCTTTAACAATTTCAGTTTGATGCAGAAAAGTATTTGGTGAATATGTTAAAACTAAATAGTGATAGCAGGTAAGTATTGCAGTAGCTTTATTTTCTCCAAAAGGCACAAATGCTCAGTGAGATACTCACTGGTGGCTCTGTGCAGGTGAGGGCCCGTTGTCCCATTTCCTTGCAGCAGTCCAGTACACAGCCCAAACTGGAGCACCCAGCTCTGTCAGCCTGAACTCAGCACCCTCCTAAGGCAGCTTGGTTTCTGCACTCAACAGAGCTCCAGTTACTGGCAAATCTATTTTTGAAGGTCATGCTGTGACAAGTAAGCAAGTCCTGCCCAAGTTCAGAGAGCAATACATATACACAAAAGTAAAGTTCTGAGAGCTGAAGCTCCCCTTTTAAAGCCCAATTTGGTCCCTTAAGAGCCGCTGTAAGGCAGCAGTGCCTGCCAATGCTCTTAGCCAACATAAGCTCTTTGCGTCCTCTCATCATCATGCAGGAACACCCCCTCCCCTTACAATTATGGGCAGTGTTTGTGATCCACAACCCGAGGAAAGTTTTTTTCACTTACTGGATGGTTATTTTAAAGCTGCTTTTTAGAAAGAAATGCAGTTCAGTGGCCACAGTCTTCATATTCACCACTGGTCTGAGGTGACAGCAAAAACAGTATGTGTTCATAGTGTAGGGGTCAGCACAAAATGAGGTAATACCAGTTAATTTTTCAATGTTCTCCCCCAGACTCAATCGCATTTTGCTAAATCATCTTCGTGTATTAGCATCCGTCAGCTCCGCGCTCCTCAGCTACTCCTCAGTTACGGGCAAGTCCATAATGACACCGCATCGGCTCCGATCTCTCGGTCTGCAGCAGCCGCTGCAGCAGCCGCAGGGTCCCACGCTGGAGGTAGAAGCGGGATGCTGTCAGCTCCCCACCCAGAGGTGGAGCGATGCCAAGGCACGGCTGTGGAGCTGACAGCGCTGTAAGGCAAATAACGAGCTCGGGGGCGGCTCGGCAGGCTGACCCCGCACACAGCACCTACAGCTAAGCATAACCGGGGCCGCTCCGGGCCGCCAGCCCTGCTGCTGCTTCTCGGGCGCTGGCGAGGAAAACGTGTCAGGACGTGGAGGAGGCGAAGAGAAGCGGCGTACCCCGTCTCGGAGCCGGCTCTCGGTCCGTGCGTGAGGGACTCCAGCGGGGACACGGCCGCTCCTCCCCCGGTGCGGCCGCACAGCCGAGCTCACCGCGGCGCCCGGGCCGGTCTCACAGAGGCAGCGCCTTGCCTCGGCCGCACACCGCGGCGCGGAGCAGCCCGCTGAGGCGGCGCAGGCCGGCGGCACCGCCGGGTAGCGCGGCCAGGAGCGCGGCGGCTGCGGTGCCGAGCTGCGCGGCGGCGCCCAGCACGGTAAGCGCGGTGCTGCGCAGCACCAGCGCGGCGTACAGCGTCCCGAGCAGCGCCCCGAGGTACAGCAGCGCCCCGCGGCCGGGCTCCCGCAGCAGCCGGGCGGGCCCGCGCAGCAGCGCGGCGGCGCCCAGCGCACAGAGCGAGCCGAGCGACCAGAGCAGCGCGAACTTGCGGGCGCGCAGCAGCAGCAGCGGCACGCACAGCCCGGCCAGCCCGAAGCACAGCGCGGCCAGAAGCACGCACAGCCCGCTGCCCGCCAGCCGCTGCCAGCGCGACAGCCCCGGCAGCCACGGGTCCTCCTCTCCCGTCCAAGGCCACACCGTGGCGCCCGGGGGAGCGCCCGACGGGAACGGGTTCAGCGCCCCCAGCCAGGCCCGCAGCCCGCCGCCGTCCCCCGCTTCCTCCTGCGAGCCGCCGGCGGTCGGCGGTGCGGGGACCGCGCTGGGGCCGGTGGCGGCGGTAGCAGCCTTGGATTGCGCGAGGTACTCGTGCAGCTGCCGGCCCAGGTCCGCCATGGCGGGGACGGCACCGGGCGCTAGAACGCTCCCTCCGCCCACCCCGGCGCTGCCATTTTCCCGAGCAGGGGCCACATCCGGGGCACGGCAGAACGGGCGGCCACGGGCCGCACAGAGAGGCGCGCACGCGCTGCGGAGCGTGAGGCGTGGAGCGCGTGCGCGGGGAGCGTGAGGGCTGCGCTGGCTGAGGAGGGATGAGGCAGCGCGGGCGTTCTACGGAGCTTGTGGGGGCTGAGAGGTCTGGCAAAACTGAGAGGGCTATGGGGACAAGGAGATCTCTGAAGTCTGTGAGGATTGGGAAGGCTGTGAGGGCTGTCTGGGGCTACGGGATCCCTGACGGCTGTGTGGGTTGTGAAGGGCTATAAGCCTATCAGTGATTGACAGGCAGAACTAAAAGTGATTGACAGGTGGGATCAGCCCAGGAGATGGATTGACGGGGGGTACTTAAAGTGATTAAGATGTGGAGTGATCCGCTCAGACTGACTGATAGGGCCAAGAATGATGAGGGGCGGGTCAGCCTCGCAGTGATTACAGGCAGGGCCATGGGAATGCCTCTCACCTGTGGGGTTCCAGACTTTCCTTCCTGTGGAAAAGAATTGTCCTTTGTAGCTAGCTTCCATGGCTGAAATTGAGCTTCTGCCTCCCAAAACTGTGCACATCCGAGGATTATTCCCAGACAAAAGCTGCCAGACTGATGGGTCTCACTGGACGTGACTTCCCAGGGATGGCCTCTCAGCTGCCCCTAGAGACACTGGGGCAGAGGCTTTCCTTCCTGTGGAACAGAGCTGTCCTGCCTGGCCAGGCAGCTGGGGCCAAACTGGGATTCTGCCTCCTAAAACTGCCGACATCCAGGGATTGCTCCCAAATGAAAGCTGCCAGGACAGACCTGGCTGGCCTCCCAGAGGCCACCATTCAGCTGTTCCCAAGGCACTGGGCTGTCCTTCCTGTGGAAAAGTGCCATCCTTCGCAGCCAGGTACCTGTAGCCAAAATTGGGATTCTGGCCTTCTAAAACTCAGAACTTCCTTGGATTGCTCCCAGGTGAAAGCTGCCAGGACTGTCAGCTCTGAGTGGCCTTGTGGGGCTGCCTCTCAGCTGCCCCACAGACACTGCCAGGCTTTCCTTCCTGTGGAAAAGGGCAGTCCTTTACATCCAGGCATCCAGGGCTGAAGGTAGGATTCCACTCCCGTATCAGTGCATCTTGCTGCACATAAGAGCTTCTCTGTTGCTTGGTAACTGGTCAGATAAAGGACAAGCTTGTACCATGTACCAAGTCTTTTACCATGGGGTTAAGACTGGTCTGACATCTGGGAGATAAAGCTGGATTTCTGACTGACAAACACCTCACTTTATAAAAGCTACATCAAACTTTGACAAAGCAGAAAATTTTCATACTTTTCTTGGAGATGTGTAGAGTTTCTCCCATGAGCAGGGCTGCCTGCTTCACAGTTACTTCCCTGAAGGTTAAGTGAAAGGAATCTGTGTACATTATCATCATTTCAGTGGTCAGTTACATTTGACTCCTAATCAATACTATTTCTTTTGCTAGCTTTAATATAGGTACCTTGATATCCTGCACTGTTTTGTGTTATGCTGTAATCTACTAGTACTACTTTAGAGTACCAAAAATTGCTCCCAGACAAAAGTTGCCAGGACATATGGGTCCCACTTCCCGTGAGCTGCCTGTCATCTGCACCTGAAAATCTGGGGCTGTGAGCTTTCCTTCCCATGGAGAAGAGTATTCTTTTTTTTTTTTTTTTTCCAGGAGCCCACTGCCAAAATTTGGATTGCACCTCCAAAATTCAGTATATATCCAAGAATTACTCCCAGATGAAACTTCCCAGGACAGACAAGTCTGGCTGGCATTGGCCTCCCTTTGGCCACCTTTAAAGTACACCTGAAACACTGGGGCTGTAAGCTTTCCTTACTATGGAAATGCACTGTCATTCTCATCTAGGAGTCCATGGTAGAAATTCTGAATCCTCCTGTACATCCAAGGATTTCTCCCAGACAAAAGCTGCTGGGACAGATGAGTCTCCCTGGGCTTTTCCTCCCCTGGGCCACTTCTGACCTGCACATAAAGTACTGGGCTTATATGCTTTCCTTCCTATGGAAATTAACTGTAATTCCCATCCAGGAGTCCATGCTGGAAATTTGATTTTCACCTCCAGAAGTGCAGTGTGCTGGACTGCTTCTGTGCTGATACATTGTTCTGCACCACAGCAAATTGGCATTTCAGACTCCAGGAGACTGCAAGCGTGTGATGCTACATAAGGCTGCGAATTAACCTGCAGAACACCGTGGTTGTGTGCCAGGTTTAAAGGCTGCAAGATGAGAGTGTCTGCCACATGATTGCCTTCCAAATTCCAGTTACCAGTCGTAAGGGGAAGGTCAGCGAACACTATCTGTGCTGGCACATGTTCCCATTCCAGACTTATGCTGAAACAATTCTGTTTAGCTTTAGATTCTGAGACTCAGCAAATATTATGGTAGAAAGCACTGAGAAGAAAAGTACAATATTGCATCGGTGTGTTTGGTGTGGCTTACATGATGCAAGAGGAAGATGCAGAGCAGCACTGGTTCAGCAAGCTGTTGCTGTCTCCACATTTAATTTACATCCTGTGAAAAACAACCACACCCTGGAGTCATGAATTTTCCTGCTCAGATGCATGTATCATCACATTCTTTCACTCTCCAAAACCCAGCTTCAAAACTAAACATGTCCAGCATGTAACTTTATTAATATGTTTCTTTCTCTCTTTGATTCTGCTGTGCTTCTTCTCACACGTGGATTTCCCGGTCTCCTCTGAGCTGGGCTCCTTCGGGACACTCCTTCATGGGGAGTTTTGTTTATCTCAGTTCTCCGGGTCAGGACAAAAACTCCAAAGCTCATTAGGATCTTGTTTCTCCTGTTTATTAGGATGTTATCACAAAACTTGGCAGGTCTCTCCAGACTTTCTGCACAAGTTTAATTCACTGCAACCTGGCACATTTTGGCTCTGATGGCACAAAATGGCCCTGAACTGTGCAGCCTTTTTATCCTTATACTTATTCTTATCCAATTAACAGTAGACACGTATATTATTTTTCTTAATGACCCAATGACCCATCACCTGTGTGCTGCATTGCAGCATTTTCTATCCAATCACTTACTACTACCAAAAAACCTCTAGGAGAAGAACATGAAGAAGAAGGAAAAGAGACAACACCCTAAATCCTCCACTTTGTCTTCAGCTTTCTATACTAGCTTAAACTCTAATTTTTTCACCCACTGACTAAAGAAAACTCTCTACACACTCACACTTTTAGCTTTTCTATCTAACAGTTGTTTTCATGTAACACCATGAAAAAATTCCCATAAATTTCATGTTATATGAAATTCAGTGTTCTCCTGGATCTCAGAGCTAGGCATCAGAGACAAGGGCACACACTCTGTGTCTCAGACTCCAACACAGCAGTGGTTCTCCTGCTGTAGCTTCTAAAACAAAAAATAAGCGCAAGCCTTCCTTTTCCCGTTGCAGTCTCTCAGAGTCCAGTTACAAAACTAAGAACGTTCAGCAGTTGGTCTCCCTGAAAAGGTTCTAGAGAAGAAAGAGGCCATGCTGGAATTCGCTTTCTTTTTGCAGCCTATAAACTGCCCAGCCAACAGTGAGACGATTTATTTTCCTTCCCAGTTATATGCAGGATCACATTCTTTCAGTCCCGAAGATTCAGGATCCACAACGGAACCCCTACACCAACTGCTCCCACACTAATAGTGCCAGGACAGAAAGGGCGTGACCTTCACCTGGGCACTGTGAGGGCTCACAAAACACACCACACGATGGCGGTGTGCACTTGCAAAAGAAGGAAATGCACCTTGTCTAGTTCTAAACCGCTCAAAATGCAGATCCGAGTTCAAAACGTCACTGTTGTCAAATAAACTGTCAGGACAGAAAGGTTTTACTGACGTTCTCTTTCCAAGAACAAACTCCTATTTGCACCACACTCAAAACGAACTCCTCTGTGCTAATCAATCTTTTCTCTCGCAGAGTCTGGCTAAACATGAAAACCACCGGCAAAAGTGTAGCTCACAAAAATGCCAGCTGAGAAAGCTGTTGCTGGCCAGAACTGCCACGGCACCCATCGAGCTGCACCCACACACCCTGCTGTCAGCACTTTTCTTCTCAGCTCTGTGTACCATCAGAATCCTTCAGTCTCTCAGAATCAGGAGCCAAACCTCAATGGCAGTGCTGACTGCTCACAGACTAAAGGTACCGAGACAAAAGGCTCAACACCTTGGCTTTTGCATTCTCAGTGTAACACTTTGGCTGCTCTAACCCATGGAACTGGAGAGTAGGGAACACAAATTCACCAAGATCACCCAAAGGAGGGAGAAAAGGCACCACAATGTAAGGGAGGGGTAGGTAAGTCATGGCAGCAGCACAGTATGTAAGGTAAGGCAAGAGAGCCATAGAAAGGGAAGGAAGCCAGCTGGGCCTTGTGTTTCAGGTGCACATGATGGGCTACTGAGTAAACACCAGCTTTCTGTTCTGACACCTCTGGTGTAGAAAATCCAAGTATCACCAAGTGAAAAGGTAAGGCATCCTCGACTCTTAGTGTTTAATTTCTGTCAGCTTCCCAGGAAGGCTCTAAAAACTACGTTATCTCACTATGGACTAAGTACAACCAAAATACAATTAGTACAGGTTTTATCTGCTTTCTTGAGCCCCATGTTGGGCACCAAAATATTTGTCGTGGTTTGAGACAAATTTGGGAGGAAACTTCCTGAAGGGTCTCCTCTAAAAAAGCAGATTCTAGCAGCCCCTGCCCCAATGAATTCGGGAGAAAATCTCCTTGGAGAAAATGGGGAAAAAAAAAAAAAGTTTATTTAGCAAGCAAAGTATTCACAAGCATGAAAAAATAAATAATATTAACCTATAAAACCTCTCATTATTCTGAAGAGCTGACAAATTCCGAGAGTCCTGTGGTTCAGAGAGTCCTCTGTGGGTGTTGTTCAGTCTCAGTGTCTCCGGGGTTCGGGCCACAGTGCAGCTTGGGTGGCTCCCAGGTGATTGTTCTGGTGTCCCAGACCAGAGAAAAGCTGAACAGTTCCAGAAAATAAAAACACCATCACAGGAAAAACTTTCTTGACTCGGCTCATAGACATGAAAGTATCTTTAAAAAAAAAGCAAAGGAAAGCTGTCTTCCCTCTATTCATGCTGCAGACAGCACACTGAGAGAAAGGAATCCCAGGGGAGGAAACAAAGCTTCCAGAAAAAACATTCTGCTGTTTCTCCCCCTTGTTCACTCTTAAAGGCACAAAACTTATATCTGGACCAAAAAGACAGATGATGGGGATACCAGACCATACAGTCACCCCAGGACAATGTTCCATCACACACTTTCAGTCTCACAATGCCTAAACTGTCAATAGATGTCCCCCACAGAAAAAATGTGGCAGGATAAAAACAGTTGTTGGATTAGCCTTGCAGCCTTTCCAGAACACACCACAGATTGAAGCTATGGACCTTCCTTCTCAGCTCTGTGTCCTGTTGTACTGTCACATTTTTTTCACTCTTGCAAATCATAGATTGCAAATTTTAAAAGTCCAGGAGCTGATCCCATACGAAAGGTCTTAAACCAAAAAGCTGTTGTTGAGTTTTCTCCTTCCCTTACAACCAGTGACCTACTTCAAACACACCTATGCATTGCACTTTTCAACTATTTTTACCATCACAAACTCTCAGTCTCGTAGTCTAAATAGAAACTAAAGTCTCCAAGTGCAGCTTGTACAGATAATTATGTGTGCCATGAGAGAAAGATTTTGGTGACCTAACCTTATAACTGCACCCCTCCCTGTGCCTCTTTGTTCCTCCACATTAAGCCCTGGCATCTCATCCAGTCTCCCCTGCCCCAGGGTGCCCCTTGTCCCTGCTTCTCTGTGCCTCTGTCCCTGTGTCCCCTGCTCAGTGCCTCTTCATTCCTCCTGTGTTCCCACTGTTGCATCTCTGGTCTCACCTCATCCTGTCCCCCGTCACCCCATCATTCCTCAGGCAAATATCAACCATTTGTGCTTTTATTGTGGTTCTTCCCCATATGTTTGGATTTTAAAAGGACAAATTCTCTGTTTTCTGAGGGGGTTTACTCCAAGTGCGGAAATGAGCAGGTCTGGAAGATAGGAAATGCTTTGGAAATTACCACAGAAGGCACGAGCAGATGCACTTGGCTGCGAAAATAAAATGGATTTGGGTCTGATAAAACACCGGGGTACAAATATTAAATACATACATGTATGTAATTGTGGTATATGTGTGTAAGCTGGTGTGTGAAGAAGCAAAGCAGCAGCTTGGTCACTCCCTGCAATTACTGATAACCCCAAATTTTGTGGTTTCTCTGAGTTTTCTATTCACTTTGAAGGCTGTGGACTGCTGCTCCTTTCGGGATGCTAACACGTTTTGTGTCCTAGCGTTGCTGAAGGTTCAGCTGTCTCTGTTGGATATTTATTATGTATTTTTTAAAACACTTGTGCTTTGATGTAATTATGTGTATATGGACACTGAGAAGGTGGGGTTGGGGGAAGAAACACTCAGAACAGCAAAAGATGAAATGGAGATGAACTGAACAGAAACCTCTTGAATTTGGAAATCAGAATAAATAAAGGTCAAGAGCAGCCCTCCAAAGAGCTTCAAGCAGGTATGTGAGGAGGGTGAGCAGAACCAGAATTGCTGATTAAAGACCTTCCAGTTGTTTATTCCCCTAATTTGCCCATAGGCATCCAATATTTACAACTCTTCTCCTGCTTCCAAACCTAAAACACTCCGCTTTGCACCAAATCAGTTATAATTGCTGTTCCATGTTCAGCAGTTAGTTAATGGAAAACTGGCATGTTGTGACTGTGGGGATATTAAATTCTGTTTTTGTGCCATCAGGATTGCAAAGAACCTGCTGTAAAGATCAGGAGAACACTGAGGTTCTTGCCACATCTCACTGTGCCTTGACTGACTGATGGATTTTTACTGGTTTTGATTTTCCCTTTTCCTGTTGTACTGTCCCTCCCCATCCCAGAGAGTGCTGGAATAGGGAATGCTGGAGCCTTTTAATAAGGCTGATTCCATCAGTATTAATCTCCTTGTCTGGGATAAACATGGAGCAGTAGCTACTCAGTCAGCAGCCTTGGGATGCTTTCCAAAGCAGAGCTGGAACATTTTACCTTTGGATATTTGCCCTGAAGCTACCCTGAGACTGGATTTAGGAACAAAAAAGAGGAAAGGGCACAAAGACCACCCAACAGCAATGGGGATTTCACCACAGGGAAATTTCACTGCCATCCAGGACCATCTGAAACCCAAAGGTTTATTGATTGTTCTGCAGCTGAATGGAGAGCAGGGGGTGTTTGGGATGAGAAGAGGCAGAAAAGACTCAACTGAGGCATTAGATGTCCTGCTCTGTTTCCTGTGGGATGCTCTTGTCACAAACAAGACTATCCTAAGGGGCAGGAGAGATGCCGAAGCAGGTTAAAAAAAACCACACCCAAGTCCTAAAAACAAGGGTTCAAATGAAAGTTAAAAGCTTGCAGATTTTTTAAAATAAATACAATACTTGCTTAAAATATAGACTAAAAATTAAGAATCACAACATAACATTTAGGTGGTTATCTGGTGTTAGGATATTGAGGGATGGGGAGGAAGAGGATGTGAACACAGACAATAAAAGTGATGAGAAAACATGGATGCTACCAGCAAAACCCAGAGGTTGCCTGGGGGCAAATGGGATGTCTGGCTCTTGGGACCTGGTGTTCAGGAATCCTCATAACGAGCCTGACAAGTGACTTGAAGATCTGAATTTGAAGCAAAGGAGAAGGAATTGGTAATGCTGAGGTTTTGGCTGCCAGCTCTATTTTTTTCCATGACAGAAGGGTGCCTCACTTCACTCCGTGAATTTTGCACTCATTAAGCTGCTGCCTGATCCTTGGCAGTGAAGAGGAGAGGAGGAGACAGAGCTTAAACTTGTCATCACCCCAGCCAGCTTTTGGTCAGTGGGGTTCCCAAAGTCTAGGTGTGCTTCCCGGCTTTCCTATTCCTCTGATCCATGGAAAACAAGGAGAGTGGAATCCTACCAAATGCTTGTTAACAAACTTATTTACATGACATGCTCTTTAATGTATTTATGTGAAATAAATGTAATATTTTAAGGCCAATGGGAATTCTGTCCCAAAGCTACGTACATGAAAACAGGCTTTATAAAAAGAGGAAAAAAGGAGCACTTCAGGTGTACTAAGGAAGAATAGCACTCCAGGCTGTCACGGAGTGTGAGATATGGTGCAATGTGGAAAATTCTCCTGAATTTTACCGAGGAGCTCATCTTCAAAGCAAGTTCCACCTAATTTGAGGTGGTTCAGGCGAGGCAGCACTTGCAACAAAGCGATAACAGTACCAAGGGAGACCAAATCATAGAGGTCAAGGCACAGGGTCTCCAGGTACTCCAGTGTCACAATAGCAACCAGCCCCTTGTTTGTCAGAAAGTAGGCATTGCTGATTTCTAGGTAGCGGAGCTGCTTCATGTGGCGCCCGATGAATACCATGGCAGCATCACCAATGATGCAGTGCCGTAGAATCAGGCGTTCAAGCTCTTTGAGGTGGGGAGCTGCTGCTTGGATCCCCTTATCAGTGATGCGGTAGGTGCCACAAAGGCTCAGTGTCTTCAAGTGGTTCTGTAAGGAAACGTCAAGAAGGTGATGGTCAGAAAAGGTGGGAATGCTGTGGATAGCGAGGTGTTGTACCTGGGGTGGTGGCACCGAAGGGGAGACGCAGAACCAGGCATCGGGGATGTCGCAGAGGCTCAGCTCCAGCGTGGTGACAGAAGCGGGCATGCTCTCGTACGGGACGTGGCGGAGGTCGGTCTCGGTCAGGCACAGCCGATGGAGCTGGGGACAGCGCTTCCGAAGGGCAGCCAGCAGCGGCGGTGAGAGGAGCCGCTGCTTGCGGCCGGAGCGAGGCACGCCCCGCATCCGCAGGGTGCACAGGCTCTCGGGGAGGCGGTGGCGCACCAGGTGCCACAGCGTGCGGCGGGTGATCTGCGGGTGGAAGGGCCCAGTTCCAGGGGATGGCTGGGGAAGGGCACCCCTGTCGCAGTGGGGCGCTTCCCCCCGCTTCCCCTCAGCTTCTGCCCGCAGCAGGGTGATCTG